CCCCGGTACCTCTGGCCAGTGCAGGAAGAAGAGACTGTGGCCAGAGGGAGAGTCTGGCTCACGGCCCGAGAGTGGGGGTGTCAGAAGCAGCCCCACTTTAGCCTACATCCCCTCCTGTTCCTACTCTGCTGGGCTCCAGAAAGGGCCTTCCCCCTGAGAAGCAGGAAGTACAAGTGCAAGTTGGGCAAACGGAGGGGTCCACCATTCCTCAGCCTGCACAGACTTGTGGGGTGTGGGGTAGGGTCCATTAGAGTGAAATGGGCTGGCATCAGGGCCATGGGGCACGTGGTCAGTGGCAGCCGAGCCCTTTGTACCTTACCTAGGGTGAGGAGAGGACACCTCGTGCCCAGCGCTCTGGACACCGGCCCAGTGGTCTGAGCTCCCGGGCACTCTCCAGCCTGCCCTAAGGATAGTGCCCCCATGCTGCCCAGCCGCATGTCACTCTGGCAGGGAGAGCCCTCTCCTTCCTGGCTTCCTGGCAGAGCCGGCGCCAGGCCCAAGCCTGTGTCCCCAGAATCCCAAGAAATGGGCTGAGCTGCCTCCCAGCACAGCCATGGCTTCTCCCCCTATTCTACCCCACTCCCACCCCACTAAACCCAGACAAACCCACTGCCGTCAAGTCAATTCCAACTCACTCGCGACCCTATAGGACGGAATAGAACTGCCCCATAGGGTTTGCAAAGCTGTTATCTTTATGGAAGCAGACTACCACATCTTACTCCTGCAGAGCGGCTGGTGGGTTCGAACCGCCGACCTTCTGGTTAGCAGCCGAGCTCTTAACCACTGTGCCACCAGGGCTCCTCCCACCCTGCTAGAGGGGCTCATTTCTGTATATCAGGCAGGCCCTGCAGCAGGCACCCTCCTTTGCATAAACAAGAGCCCTCACTGCACTGGGGAAAGGACAGTCTTGGGTGGTGGGGGTCACCTCTCTTGTTCCCCTAGCCACCCTAGTGGTCTCCTTCACTGCTCCCACTGCCCCCCACCCCAAAGCCCAGAGCTGGCTGCGATTTCCGAGGCTTGCAGAAGCCTGTGGAAGCAGCCTGGCTGTTTCTATAGGGCCCATCACCATGGCATCGGCCGCGAGGGGCTGGGGCAGTAGCCCCCAGCACCTGCAGCCCTCCCCCAGGCACAGGGAATGGCCCTGGGCCTGCTCCCCAGAGACGGTCACCAGGATTAGGGTATCGACTTTCCCCAGCTTTCCAGGTGGCTGCTGATGGCACCTATTGAATTCCGTGCCCGCCATCCACTCCCAGGGCTGCGTGGGTGGAGGTGATGGGGTGGCCGCTTGGGGTGGGGCTGAGCTCCCTGACAGAGAGGGGAATGGGGGGTAGCCACTGTGGACCCAAGAATCTGAGTTAGCAGAAGGGTCTGGAGGTGGGTCGCCTGGCAGGGTCTTTTCTGGAAGCAGGTCTTTCGTTGTCTGGAAGCCCCAAGCAGCCCAGCTCAGCTGCACTGCCCATCAGCTGCCATTGCCTCCCGCTCATGCCTCTCATCTGGGTCTCTGCCAGTCTCCTCACTGAGCAGATCCTGGTGTTTACTTCTGGGCTGTTATTGTCGCTGGGAGTTTCACCTTGCCCTTTGGAATTCATCAGGAGGCTCTGGACAGACTGGGGCTATGTTCCCGTGAAATCCCCTACCCCATGCTCTGGGCCTGCCTGGAGCTGGCCTGTGGCACAAGGTCCCTCCTGAGCTCCTGGGGGCCAGCAGGTGGGATGAGGGCCCAGGTGCCTGACCCCTCCCCCATCTTCTTTTCGATGGGCCTTGAGACCATACACACACACACACACACACACACACACACACACACACACACACACACCCCATCCCCAAGGAGGCTGCCATGACTCCTACTGCCAGCTCCGGCCTTCACCCAAGCTGGGATGGGCCCTGGATCAGCTGACTCAGCAGCTGGCAGGGACATCTCCTGGAGACAGCTGGGTGACTCCTGATGAGGGAGGGGCTGAACAGAACAAGACCTGTCTCCCTGGAAGAGTGGACAGCTCCAGCCCCTCTGGGTGTGAAAGGAGGGCGCCTCCAGGGACTTGGGAGGAAGGAGCCAGAGATGTCCGAAGGCTTCATAAAACTACCTGGGGCTTCTTACCCCGGCCCAGCCACCCTTCAGCCCTGATGCCATGGCACACGACCCCCAGAGGGCAGTAGAGTGGGTCCAGTGCAGGGGGAGGGGCGCAGTGGAAGCTGGAGCCCCACTGGAGCTCCAGTGGAGGTCTGGGCCCCCCGTTTCCCTCACCTTCATGGCTTGGTGCTAGCAGAGGGTAGTGGGCTCAAAGCAAGCCTCGCACTGCGATGACATAGGCCACTAGGCAAGGGGTATGGAGGAAAGTTGCTGAGGGTCACTAAGGGAGGCCCCCAGCACAGAAACCCAAGCCTGACGGTGGGTACCACGGGGCAGCTCCCCTAGCCCAGGCATGCTCGCGGCCTCCTCGCCCCTCAGCTCTATCCCTCAGCTCAGCTGCTGTGCTCTCCACACAAGCCAGCTGCAAGAGGCCCTGAGCACCCGGAAGGAAGGCTGCGGTTTCGTCAGCTCCCAGCAGAGCTGCAGCCCCGAGCCCAGGGCCTGCCCCTGACTCCCGCGGGGGCCTCAGCTCTGACTGAACTGCCTCCTGTCTGGGCCTGGGTCCTTAAGGGACAGCCCTCTGTGGTGGAAGGAGCACAGGGTTCGAGCCAGAGACCCGGGCTGCAGTTCTGGCACCTCCACTGTAGAGCCGTGTGACATCAGGCAGTGGGCTTACCATCTCTGAGCCTCAGTTTCCCCATCTCCAAAATGCGGGTGACGAGCCTGGCCAGGCTGCCATGGGAAGGCTTTGGGGTGAGCGGACTGGGTGGGGAGGCAGGAGCGTTGGAGCTGCCCCCTCCCGTCCCCGGTCCTGGGATTCACCCTCCCTACTTTCTCAGGGTAACTGCATGGATTGCAGAACTCAGTCTAGCTGGGGCAGAAAGCCGAGCCTGTCCCAGTGGTGATAACTGGTCAGACCTGTTCTTGCTCACCTTGGCGGCCTGTGGGAGGGCTGGGCTGGGCCACCGGCTTTGTGGAGGGATTAGCTGGAGGGGAGAAGAGCCTCACTTACTCCCGATCTAGATCCCAGAGGGCTGGGGGGTGGGCCGTGGGAGGGCTGCTGGGGCTGCAGTAGGTGGGAGCTGAGAGTGGGCCCTGCGGTGAGGGCCAGGAGGGGTGAGGAGGACCAGGGGGCCCCAGGGAGAAGAGGATACTGCGTCACCCGAGCAGCAGCCCCTGGGGAGAGGCTGTTCTGTGGGCCCCCCACATTTTTATTGTTTGCATATTTGCTTTTGTTGTTGGGTGTAAGGACCTCCTCCTACTTTTGACCCTGGTGAAAGGTTAGGAGGCACCAGCCCAGGGACCTCTAGCCCAGATTTGGGTAAGTGGCAGCCAGAACTAGGCCCAGCCGTTACTGCTTCTTCCTGTCTTGGCGTCCTCGCACCCCCTCCGACATCCTGAACACAGACTAGAAACACCCGCCCAAGCATTTGAAGGAAGGAAAAGTCTCGCTGGGGCCTCCCCCGTCAGAGAGTCATGGGGTGGGGAGCAAGCTTGGGAAGCAGCTTCTCCCATGTCGATGGAGCTGCATCCTGGGGCAGGCAGGTTCAGGCAGGAGGCCCTTCTTCCCTACCTCCCTTGCCTTCTCCACTCCCAGCTGGGGATTTGGGTTTCAGAGCACCCCTCCTACAAGAGCTCAGTCTCAGCTTAATATGACTCTTTCATTTGTATTAACCACGATGACAAAGCTGCACAGCGTTTACCATCCTCAGAGTGCTCCCACCCACTGTAATCACCTCCTTGGGGCCTCACAGCAGCCCTGGGAGGCAGGTGGCATTAGGAACATTCTAGAATGAGGAACCTGAGGCTCCGAGAAGGAAATGACCTGCCCCAGGTCACAGAGCTATAGTGGGTGGCGGAGCTGGACATGGGTCAGGACGTTGGCAGCTGCCCTGCCCCAGGCCTGGGAGCAGCGGGAGCAGGACCCCAGAGTCATGAGTCCTCAGCAAGGTATCAACTACTTCGCCCACTCACACCCCCATTCCCTCCATCATGTAAGTGAGTCTGAGGGTTGCAGCTTCCAAGTTGAACCAAAGACACGGAGAACCATCTGCACTGAGTGTATGGGTGCTCAGGAGAAATCTACAAGTACCCTTTTAACGGGGGCCACGGCCACACTGCTCTCCTTCAACCCAGCCCTGCGTTTCCTGTCTCCCACCTCCAATTCAGGTTCCTTTGGGACTAACAGGGTCTCCGGGCCTCTGTTGCTGCCTTTACCCTCAGCTGGGCCTGGAGCTGCTGAGGTGGCCAAGCCTTGGCTTCGCCAGCAGGGTGCCCTGGTCCCATCCAGGACCCCTTGCTGTGCCTCCTACCAGGCGTGTGGTTATCCGGCTCCCTCCATCTCACCTGCAGAAGGAGCTGGCCGGCCCACTGGACTTGGTGGGGATGAGAAGGGAGCCGGTGTGGGTGAGGAAAGGCGTTACCGTAAACATGCTGACCAGCTTTCAGTAAACACCTGGCCCTGCCTTCCCCGCTGCAGAGAACAGGGTACAGAGGGGCTAGGGGTCCCCAGTCACATGCCTAAGTACCCAGCAGGCTAGCAGGGGTCTCCCCTTCCCTAGGAGGGCCAGACTAAGCCACTGGGGGAGAGGGATAAGGGATCAATCAAAATAACGTGATAAACCTGAGAATGTCAAAACGGGAAGGGGCTTGAGAGCTCACCTTGTCCCACCTTCATCTTCCAGAAGAGGAAACTGAGACCCAGACAAGGGCAGTGTCCTCTACTGGGTCGCCTAGGTCGTTTGCTGCAATGATAGGCCTGCATGAGTCCCGGGCCAGCATCCGCTCATATTGTTCTGTAGGATCTTAGCAAACCTGAATTAGTCCCAAACCTTGCCTCCTTGGTAGGGGAGGGGTGTGGTCAGCAGAGAGCAAGGAAGGTGGGCCAGGAACATCACTCTCTTTATCTTCTACTCCACCCCCATAGCGTGAGCTGCGGCCACGGCTCTGTGCCATGAAGAAGGGCCCCAATGGCTACGGCTTCAACCTGCACAGTGACAAGTCTAAGCCTGGCCAGTTCATCCGGGCGGTGGACCCAGATTCACCAGCTGAGGCCTCAGGGCTCCGGGCCCAGGACCGCATCGTGGAGGTAATGCATCCTCACCCTCTTCGCCACTCTTCCTTCCTCACAGCCTCCTTGTAGACCATCAGCTCCTTGTGGTAGCCATAACACCATTTACTTCCTGGTTAGCCCCACAGGGCCTAGCTAGCCCATAAATGCTGGATGGGTGGACAGATGGAGGGGGGAGAGGGAGGGAAGGAAGACAGAAGTGGGTGAATGGGTTGTGGATGGATAGATGGATGGAAGGAAGAGAAGGAGGATGGGTGGGTGGATGGATGGAGGGGGGGGTGGGTACCTGGGTGGTAGGTGGACAGATGGATGGAAGGAAGGGAAGAAGGACAGGTGGGTGGATGGATGGAGGGATGGAGGGATGGAGGGATGGAGGGAAGGGAGGGTGGGTAGACAGGTGGGTAGATGGATAGACAGAGACTTCTTTTCTGCCCCACTCTCCCCTGGGCTCTTCTGCATTCAGCAGGCACACTCAGCAGCCCCATTCACCCATCAGTCCAGGCAGACATCTGGGGCTACCCCCAGGGTTCCCATGCTACCAGAGGCCTCCATGCCAGGCACAGGGGTTGGAGGGAGGGTGATAAAATTCTTCTCCTGAGCAAGGCGCTTAGGCACGCTCACTGTATACACTTGTGCTGTGTTCCACTGGAGAGGAAACAGGAACCAAAGGACTTGGGCGGGTCCCAGAATCACAGAGCCTTCTCGTCTTACATGCGAGAAAACCAAGGCCCAGTGAGGAGAGTCAGGCGGCAAGTCCACAGAGAGGCCAGGGCCCAGCCAGCCTCCCTGACCCCTCTCAGCTGTGTTTGTTTAGTCTCTTCTGGATATTTTCTTTGGCTTTTCCCAGTGTCCCTCTCTCCATCTGACTGTCAAGGGGGAGGACCACTTGACCTAGTTCAGGACTATGCACAAGGAGGGCTCAGTGCCCCCAGATTGCAGGCTGGCCTAGTTTGAGGAGGCCCTCTCGTACCTCCCTCCACCTACCCTCCCGAGAGCTGCAACCTGTGACCACAGTCCCTCCCTCCCCTCCCTGCAGGTGAACGGGGTCTGCATGGAGGGCAAGCAACATGGGGATGTGGTGTCTGCCATCAAGGCTGGCGGGGACGAGACCAAGCTGCTGGTGGTGGACAGGGAAACCGACGAGTTCTTCAAGAAGTGCAAAGTGATCCCATCTCAGGAGCACCTGGATGGTGAGCAGGGAGGGAGCTGGTGGTCACCCTGGGGCTGGAGGCCCCCTAGTCAATGCTCAAGACCAGGTAGGGGTCCAGCAGCTTCCTGTTTTGACACTTCCTTCCAGGGAGACCGAGAGGTGTGGGTTGGGAGAGAGTGGGGCCTTAGTGTCAGGAAAGGAACAGGGATTAGCAGGGATGGCATGGGACAGGGGTAAGCTGGCATGAGGGGTGGTGAGAGAGAGGGGACAGAGTGTCCGATTTCCAGGCCTGAGCCCCCAACCCCTCCGCTGCCAGCAAGTTCTTGAGGTAGTGCTGACTCAGGAAAGGGTTAACTCCGGGGCAGCTGCCCAGCCTTTGCTTGGTCAGATCAGAGTCCAGTGACAGGGGCCTGGTGCCTGCTCCCTTCTCCTCTCTCCAGTTGTCTTGGAAACACAGGCCTGCTGGCTGTGGAGAGCGGTGGGCCCCCTTTGCTACCCTGGGCCCCTGCCGTCCCCATCCCCCACCCTTCCCCTGCCAAGCCTGGCACCTCCCCCTGCTCAGGCCTTCGCCAAACAGGGCTGGGCTGTCACATCAGTACAAGGAGGGGTTAAGTAGCCCTCTGCTCCCTGATCTGGACTTTCTCCCTGGGAAGATGGCTCCCTGAGGGATGTGGGCTGACTGGGTGGAGCCTATTTGGACTTTGCAACGGGTGGGGCCTCCCTGGTGTGTCAGGATTATATCTGTAGGTACGGGTCCACATGCAGATCCTGTCATACACACTCAGACCCCTAGCTGGCAGGGCCCCGATAGGGAGCCCTATCCCCCAGTGGCCCAACAGGGGCTCCTGGGAGGGAGATAGGTCATTGGAAGTCCTGAGCAGACTCTAGACATGGGAGGGGACAACACTTTACCCTTTTCTCACGTTCATGAAAACCAAATAACTCAGGGACTCCTCCTCCTAGATGAGGGGGAAAACAGGCCCAAAAAAAGCCCCAACCTTGCTTTTGGAGACGTAACACGGGGAAAACAGCTGAAATTGGACTCCACTCAGCCCCTGAAACACCTCCTGCCTCCCCTGCCGCCTTTCTCCTCCCCCTGCTCCCTCATCTCCTTCTGTGTCTCTGACTGGGTGGGAAAGGCCCTAAGACCACAGCCATGCAGGCTCTGGCCGGAGGACCTGCAGAGGAGAGGCCGGGGCAGCGTCCTTCCAGGGCTCCAAGGACCATGTCTTTTTCCTACTCCTCCCAACTGGCTGTAACTGGGGGCAGCCCCATAGAGAGGAACGCTCCCCCCGGAGGCTGCCAGGGCTGAGGCTTCACCCCATCCCTAGGAAACAGCCTGGAGCTAATGGGAAAGGAGCTGGCTAAGGGGTGGTGAGTGTCCCTGTGTCCCATCAGTCCCCTGCCCAGCCTGGAAGGCTGTGGGTGTCAAAAGGGAGGAAAAAGCGAGAGGTATGTCTGACTGTGCTGGGAAAGGGAAAAGATGTACATTAATTTTTAAGCTAAGAGTTCAGAAAAACCCACTCAGGCTGACCCCGGAGCAGAACAGCCAGTCCCCCTTGTTGCCCTGAGTGAGCCACTGAGGCTGACCCCAGGCCTGACTTTTCTCCCTCTGACCCCTGCTGCCACCACCGAATTTCCCACTGTCGGAGGGGACACCCATCACACTGCCCTGGGCTGTCTTGCCCCACTCCCATATCCAGATTCACAATTAGGAGTTGGGATTCTGTCCTCTTTCAGCTGAGGCAGGTACTAACCATAATCTGGGGTGTGGTTGCAAGTCTGGCATCATATCCTAACTACCTGAGAAGCTTTTGAAAAATGTGGATTCCTAGGCCTGCCCTAGACCCACTGAATCAGAATCTCAGGTGGCAATGCCTGGGAATCTATTTTTAACAAGCCTCCCAGGTGAGTTGGATGCAGCCAGCCTGGGATCTGAAACCCATCTAGGATGCTCAAAGCAGCTCACTTCCCACTACTGGTCACGAGATCAATTTAGTAGGTAAAGATCAGCAAATTTTTTAATGAAACCAAATAGAAAGTATCAAAGAGCATTGCATTGTAATAAGGGTTAGTATTGTTTTGTGAAACTTTTGTTACATGCACACACACACACACACACACAAAATCTTTGTGTATGCTGGGTCATAATGTCAAAATGTAAAATATATTTCTTATAGTGGGTTGCAGTTGAAAAAGTTTTATAAACACTGACTTTGGAAATAAGGTCTAATTATCTGCCAAACCCTCCGACTTTCACCACCCCCCCGCCCCCCGCTCTGGTTTCCAGAGCTTTGGGCTCACTTCTTTTTCTTTGCCCAGGTCCCTTGCCTGAGCCCTTTATCAATGGGGAGATACAGAAGGTAAGAATGACGCTGTTGCTGCTCTGTCCCTCGGTCCCGGGGTGAGAGGAGGGTGAGAAGGGTGTGGCTGGGGGAAGGTAGAAACCTCAGGGTCCCCAGCTGTAGGTCCCTCCTAAGCTTCAAGTACAGCCTTCCAGCAGACCCCAAAAGCCTCTGCTTAGGGCCTGGGCAGTCAGGAGGGAGAGGCCTGGCTGGCCCCCCATAGCCCGCCATCCTCGGTGAGAAGCCCCCGCCTCCAGCTCCCCATGGTACAGAAGAGGCCATTCTTCCCTGCAAGAACAGAGCTTCAGTGTCTGGCGGCATGCTGCGGGCCCTGCTACATCCAGTCTGGGCTGGGAGAACAAAGCCCTTCCTCCCCCTGCCCAGGAAAAAGGGAGGCTGGGGAAGAGATGGCAGGGCCAGGTGCCAGCCGAAGCCATGGAGGAGCCCAGGAAGGGGCCGAGTGCCAAGCTAATGGCCAGCCAAAGCCTTCACTCTGGATGGGCAGCCTCAAGTCAGGGTCTGCAGAAAGGGTCCCCTCCCCAAGGGCTCCTTCACCTGGGGGGACTCGGCTCTGAACCTCTGTTACCCCGTTTGTGGGTCTAGGCGTCTCTGTCCCTCTTACTCCCTCAATGCCATTCTTTTTTTTCTTTTTTTTAATGAGAATATTCTCAGTTATTTATTGCCACGGAAGAAGTATCCCAATCAAACTTAATGGCTTAGAACAACACAGTGCATTATTTCTCATGATTTTGTGGTTTGACTGGGTGAGTCGGCTGTCTCACATGGATCTCTTAAGCAGCTCCATTCGCTGGCATATGGGCTGGGCTGGAAAATCTAAGAAAGCCTTCTCACGTCTGGGGTCTTGGTCCTCCTCCATGCGGCCTCTCTCCATGCGGTGCCTCATCCTCCAGGGCCTTTCCACATGGCCTCTCTCTAGCAGAACAGACTGGACTACTTACAGCATGAGAGCCAGCTTCCGAGAGGGAGAAAGCATAAGCTGCTAGGCACAAGGCTATTCTTGGCTACTTTGGGGCTGAGGTTCAAGACTCCTGGGGTTGCATCCAGGGAAACAGTCAAGTGGGTCGCAGGCCTGGAGGTTCAGGGAGTATCATGTGTCCCCATGACGAGCAGAGCGGTCCCCGATGACCCACACTCCAAGAAGCCCCTCCTTGATCACTGTCCCGAAAGGCCTGTCAGTGCCTGAAAGCCGCATTGGGGAGGACAGTGGAGAGCACTTCAGCTGACGCCACCATGGGCCGTCCCTCCCTATGGGCCCAGGCAGCTCTGATCCTTTGAGGAATGTGACCATGCAAATCCCCCAGTAGGTTCAGGCAGTAAGGGGACTGGGGTGGGTGGGTGAGGTACCTGTCTTCCCTAAGAGCTCCTTCCCTTCCTCAGGACTTCGCCTACCCCATCCCCCACCAACCCACACCCCCTCCCCCACCAGCCCACACTAACCCACACCCCTCCCCTGCCAACCTATACTCCCTCTCCTACCAATCCACACCCCACCAACCCACACCTCTCTCTTACCAACCGATACCCTCTCTCCTACCAACCCACACCCCCTCCTCTCTGTGCCAGGAGAACAGTCAGGAAGCCCCGGCTGAGGAGGCAGCCCCAGAGAGCCCCTGGCCAGCCCTGGGGAGAACCACCTCCAGTGACACCAGTGAGGAGGTAGGCTGACGGAGTGGGGGCGGCAACCAGATTACAGGAAGCCGATTCCCAGGCCCCACGTCTTCCTGGCACACCAGCCTGCCTCTGAGGTCACATGCAGTGCCACGTTCTGTTCTTGTGACCTGGCTTCCCTGGGTAGTGCCCCAAAGGAGCCCTCTCACCGAGGCTGAGTGCCAGGGGCCCCCACCGGGGCTGACCCCCTCCTCTCCGCCTCCCCTTCCTCTTTGCAGTTGAATTCCCAGGACAGCCCCAAGAAACAGGACTCCGCAGTGCCCTCCTCTGCCTCCTCCTCCTCTGACCCCATCCTGGACTTCAACATCTCTCTGGCCGTGGCCAAGGAGAGGGCACATCAGAAACGCAGCAGCAAGCAGGCCCCGCAGATGGACTGGAACAAGAAAAACGAACTCTTCAGTAACTTCTGAGCACCCTCTGCCAGCCACCCGGGATGGGGGAAGGGCTGAGCCAGACCCACCCCCCAGACTGTCTCCCCTTCCTCCTCCCCATTCACCCCTGAATCGACGTTTGAATCAGCACCAGCATCTCCTTTCTTGGTGAACCTGATTTTTCTAGAGAACTACATTCTTCCCTTATGTTAGGAGAGGCAAATGGTTTTCTGTCCTGCCCCAATCAGAAACAGACTCTGCCCCCCACTCCGACTGCTTCATCCCACCTGGTGACCCCGTGACACCCTGCCTGGGGCCACCACTGCGACCTGCACCAAGCAAGGACTGTGGGACCAGGGGAAAGGAGGTTCTCCCTCACAGCCCCATTGGTGACAGGGTCTGGGGCTGATTAAGGAACTCTGATCACAGCACCCACTGCTCCAGGGGAAGGGGCATCTGATAGCCTGAGAGCCATGATTTGGGCACCTTATTTTTATTCACTTGATTATTGTTATTTTTTAAGAGTGCAGTACCAGAGTCGAGGGATTTTTGCTTCCTTGATTAACATGCTTTTTCCTGGTTGTTGTAATCCAGGGCATATAGCAGTGGCCTCAGCCTTCAACTCATGTGTTTCTACTCCCACCCCCGGAGACCCAGGCAGCAAGGGGAGGGCTTGGCTACCCCTGCCCAGCCCAGAGCCAGGCACCATTGTAAGGAAACTCCAGTAGAAATTCAAATGGTTCCTCCAAAGCACTTCAGTCTCTGTGTCTTCCTTTAGAGAAAGGTTTGTCCTCCTGGCCTTTAACTTAAACCTCTTCTGGGTGGATAGGGAGAAATGCTGGAACAGGTGCTCCCAGCATGGTCTTTAGCTGAGAAGTTACAATGCAGCTGGAGAGAGAGGCCCATCTGGGGCGCTCTGTCACCCCAAGCCCGGGGAGCGGGAGATGTGCGACTTTAACCAGAGAGCCTTGAAACCACGTGCCTGGCCCACGAGCCACTAGGAGTTCCACGTGCAGGAGCTCTGTGGGAACAGGATCCACCCAGCTCCCTGTGCTTCACCTCTGGCCAGTGCACATGTCCAAACGCATGTCTAGCACTGGTGCAGGTGGGGGTCCTTCTGCTGTCGGGTGCTTATCTGGCCCAGTGGGCTGGGAGCTGAGACTCCCGTCTCAGGTCTGTGGGAGACTGCTCTAACCCCAGGAGTGCTGGAGTGTGGACCCCAGGATGGAGCAGAATTAGGAATGCAGGGATTTGGCTTTAATCTCTGCCTGCAGCCAGTGGGGTGCAGGATTCCCAGAGGTGGCCTAAGCTGGTGCCAGATACACTATCTTATCTGGCCGCTGACCTAATTGGAGGGCAATTGTCCAGGGTTTAGGGAAAACAAACCAGGTCCACCAAGCTCCAGGACATGCTGCAGAGCAAGGTGGAGTGGAGGGGACTTTCCAAGGGCAAAATGCCCTGTCCCTTCACAAGAGCTCTGGAGGGTAACCAGTTTGGTCCCAGCTGGCTTGTACCTCTAGCCCGAGGCCACATCTTGGAGCCCTGCCAGGGTGGCCTGAGAGAATGGAGGCTGGTGGGCCAATAGGGTCAAGAGCAGGAGTTCAGAGAAACGCCCCAGGCTGCTTTCCGCCCAGCCTACGAGAAGACCACTCAGAAGCCACATAAAAATGGAAGACAGTGAACTGGGAAGGGGACCTTTGGCTTGAGAGAGAAGCCAGCCATTATCTGTCCATCTCAGCTCATTAGGGCTGGGATTCCACTAGCATGAAACCATTCAAATCCCTTATCCTGGTACCAATCGTCCTGTCCCCTGCACTGCCTGTGCCTCGCCTGTCCCTACCCCACCCCGCCTCTATTCTCTGACCCCTGACAGACGCCTCCACACAGGTGGAGCAGGCCTAAGGATTGCCCCACAGGGCTGTGGAGGCCCCTCCCTACCTCGCCTGCCTTGTGGGGGAAGCCCTGGGGGAACTTTGACTCCGACAGCTAAAGACAGGAGGAAGGGACAGGTGGCTTGGAGGGAACTCCTATGGCTGGGGAGCACAGTACAGAGGGGGCCACAGCGAGTGGAGCTTTGATGTTAGGCACGGTTCTACTGCTTCTCACCTGCGTAGACTATCACCTGCATCTTTGTCTAGCACGCAATGCCAGGGCCTGGAAGCCAGGGGCAGAGCAGTTCTGGCTGTGCCACAACAAGCAGGGGGACCCTGGGCAAGTCACCTTCTTTATCTGGGACTGTTTCCCGAGCTTGAAAACACCCTGTTGCTGGCTGCCATCAAGTTGACTGATTCACGGCAGCCCCAGGTGTGCAGAGTACAACTGTGCTTCAGAAGGTTTTCATGACCGTGACCTTTCAGAAGCAGATTTGCCAGGTCTTCCGAGAATCCTTGAGTGGTTCAAACTGCCAGCCTTCCGGCTAGACAAGCGCTTAACTGTCTCCACCAGCCAGGGACTCTCGAAAAAGCCCTACGTGCCCTCCAGGGTCTCTTCCTTGACTGGCTTTTAAGAACATGCCTGGCCTTTCTTGACGCCTCGGCAAACTGTGGGCAAACTGTGACCGGGGTGGGATGTAGGATAGAAACCTGAGGGTGTCGGCCACCTCAGCTAGGCCAGGGAGACCTGCCCAGCCCCACGTCTTAAGTGACGGGCAGACAGTTGACAGGCAGCCTGGCCTTCCCAGCCTGTGCCTCCGCTGCCCCCGCGTGGCCTTGCCAGATGTGCAGCTGCTCGGAGAGGAGGCCCAGGGAGGGGGCACCGAACCCCTCCTGCTCAAGGCCCCACTGAGGCTTCTTCCCACAGCCCCTGCCACTGAGCTGGAGGCCGCACCTCACCAACCGGGGACTTGTCACACGGAGCTGTCTCCAATGGTAACTTCTTCCTTCCTCCTCTACACTCAAAACCAGCTCTAAAGAGAAGGGAGGAAGGCCACTTGCCCCCTTTCTGAGCAGCCTGTCTGTCCTTCCAGAGCCTAGGTCCCTGGCTTCCACACCACCCTGCGTCCCCACCCTGCCTGCTTCTACACGACAACAGGACAGAGCCAGCCCTGTCCACACCTCCACACACTCCGAGATGGGGCCTCCTGTCTCCACATGGCAGAATAAGAAAGCGAGAAGCAGGCCTGCCATGTGCTTTACTCCTGCCAGGGCCTCCCCCGGCCTTTCACCAGACAGGGAGGCCCTGTCTGCCCCATCCATTCTCCAGGCCCCCTGTAACCTTGGTTCCCACGTCCACCCTGACTCCTCCTGTGGTTTCATACATCTACTGCAGGTTCCTAGTCTGAGTCCAGGTCTGGCTGGGAGTCGGGCTTGGCCACACCACCAGCCTGAGGGAGGCAAAGGCAAGTCCAGAGTCGGAGGGGCCTGGGTCCTAAAGGGTTATTTCCAGCCTGGGGATGCACCAGCAGCACTGGCCCTGAGACCCCATACATCCATCTCCTGTGGCTGGGTTCTGGCCTTTGGAGCATGTAGTCCCGACGTCCCATCCACACGCCAGCTGCCCATGAGGCCCAGCTGTCAGTGGGGCTCGGCTGACCCAGCTCTGTACGGCTTCTCTGCCACGTGGCTGGTCTGCTCCAGCAGCCACTGCCGCATCGGCTCACTCACAGCCAGTCTGAGCGTCACCTCCTGGAAGACGCTGCTCACAGCCACCTACGGAAGCCCGGAGAGCAAAGCCCACCAAGTTACAGCCACAAATGCCAGCCCCACCCCAGCCCACCACAGAGACAGGCCCCGCCCCATCCCCACCTGCCAGCCCCCCGTGACGTCCTTACCTGCTCAAAGTGAAGTTTTTGGAACAGATGGATGCTCGGTTCATTTCCTTGCCCGATTTTAGCCTCAAACTTGGTCAGACCTAGCTTGGTGACTCCTCCCCGAGGAGACCAGAGAGGGGTGAGCAGCAGAATGAAGGCTCCGGCCCCTCCCACCCCCCAACCAAGCCCTGGCTCCCCACGCAGTGTGCAATGGAGGCACCTGTTGCCTGCCCCCCACCTCCAAGCCTGGAGAAGTCTCCCTCCTAACATGCCCCGGCCCTCACCCGGGGCCTGGCCGCTTCTCCCCACACTTACCGTAAGACATCATCATGAGAACAGCCTCAGTGCCAAACCCCCGGCCTCTGCAGCTGGGCTCTGGGAGACAAAGCAGCAATAACAACAGCTAACACTGGGGGCTGAGGAGCCCTAGCAATGCAAACAGTTGAGCACTCAGCTGCTAACCAAAAGTTTCCAACCCCCCAAATAGCTCCCCAGGAGAAAGACCTGGCGATCTGCTTCCATAAAGATTATAGCCTAAGAAACCCTACAGGGCAGTTCTACCCTGTCACATGAGGTCTCTATGAGTCGAAATCAACTCAAGGGCCCCTAACAACAATAGCAACACTACCGGGGCAGGCTCGGATTTAGACACTTGACACAATCTCATCTAACCCTCACAACAACTCTGAGAAGCTGTTACTGCTAATACTGTTTAGCAGAAAAGGAAATGGGCACGGAGAAGTTAAATGACTCAGCCAAGGTCTCACAGCTTGGAACCCCTGTAGTCTAACTCCAAGGCTGACTCCCTTAGCCCTCAGTCTGGTGCCTCAGTGAGAACAGCCAATAGCCTCTAATGGGAAGGCTGAGGACCAAGAAGGAAGCAGAGGCTACAGGGGCCCTTCCCATAGCACAGGAAATGCTCCAGGGAAGATCATTTCTCTTTGGAGGGTTCCCCCCTCCCCCAAGGATGGGCAGACTGAATTTGGAAGACCCAAAAACCAAAGGTTAAGTTCACACCTAAGCTTAAGATGGGAATAAAGTGACAAACACAGGGCTAGTGGGATCCAGGCAAGCAGCCTGCCCCAGGCAGGTCCACGCTCATCCACACAGAGCATCCCACTGAGGTCCGAGTGCTTCACGAGCCCCAGCAAGCTGAAGGCCTAGCAGTGCCGAGGGCCAGAAGGGAGGGGAGGCAGGGCCAAGTGAAACGAACCCGCAATCATGACCTCGATCTCCCCCACGGCGGGGTCCCCTGGATCTGTGAGGAAGAGGTTCACATCGCCTGCCATACAGCTCTCTTCGGTGACGCCTGGCTGGGCCTGCCATTTCTCTGCATCCAAAATGATGAAGGTACACTCTAAGGAGAGAGGGGACAGGTTGTCCCTACACTCCCCAAAGGAGGGAGATGAGGACCACGTTTCTACCAAGCCAGGGAACTGCAGAACACTGTCCTCTGCGTCTGACAGGAGAAAAGGGGGCCCAGAGCTTTCTGTAGCTCATTACAAGCCTCAGATCTGCCTCATGCAGAAAAACACAACCTTCTCCAAAGAGCAACTGTGCTTTCAGGACCAGGGGACCCAAAGAGGAGCAGCCACAGCCAGAACCCAAGATCCTTTCGTTTGTCTGAATCCTTCCAGGCCTGCTGCAGGGTGGAGAGGAGAGAAGCATCAGCCACAGGGACTGGCTTCAGTGGGCAGGAGAGTACCAGGGTTTCTGGCACCTTCTAGGCTTTTCATGAAGCTTGTGTGGCCCCGGGAAGGAGATCTTTGTCTAGCAGTAAGGAAGGGAGGGAACCTGGAGACTGCCTGTGGAGTCAGCCCTCCCACTGCCGCCAGCGCTGCCAGCCACCACCAGCCTGGGCTCTGCTCCTCACTGTCAGCATCCTCTCGCCAGCTGCGCTGCATTGTGTACTCCTGCTCCAGGCTCAGCGGCTCTGAGGCTGTCAGCTGCTGCAGCTCCTCAGATTTCATCCACTCGTGGTATCTGCAGGGGCATAGGGATGGCCCGAGACTACCCTAAATTATAAAAAATTGTTTTCTTTTTTGCACACGTTTAGTTTATGTAAAATAATTCCTTGCTGAAGGTCAAAAACGAAGCTGAGAGGGTGAAAGGGAAAACAGAGAGATGAGCAACTTCTTCCAGGGAAGTCATATTCCTCTGCCTCAGCCTTCACTTTTTCCTGTATGTTGTTACTTCTCACAACCAACGCTTCCCCTTCTCAGGGGAAACAGCCTCTGAGATTTGGCCTAAGAAAGGCTGACCCTCCTCCCTGTGCCTAGGAGGGGGGCGAACACAGCGCTGAGTAAGGGTGCAGCTGTGCCCATATCAGGCAGGACTAGTTACCTGGGCACATGCTCTGAGGTGTAGGGCACCAGGACCACCTTCTTCCCCAGCAGCAAGGTGTTCTGATTCAACAACATAATAGTGGCAGCCTGCGGGTGGCAAGGGCAGACTTCAGGACCAGGAGTTTCCTCCTACTTAGGGTGGGAGTCCGGGTTCTGTATTTGCTAAACTCCTGCAGAGATGCGGAGCCCTGGTGGCGCCATGGTTAAGCACTTGGCTGCTAACGGAAAGGTTAATGGTTCCAACCTACCAGAGGCTCCGCGGGAGAAAAGACCTGGTGATCCGCCCCTATAAAGATTACAGCCTAGGAAAACCTATGGGGCCATTCTACCCTGTCCCATAAGGTCGCTACGAGTCGGAAATGACTCAATGGCACACAAGAAGGGTCTCCCTCTTTCCCTCCAAACACTTCAGAGAACAAGGACTCTAAACCCCTTGCAAGAAGAGGAACCGGGCTGGTTAAGGATAATTAAACAGCCCTTAACTCGCACTCCAAAGAAGTTTCCACCCCATTCTCCAGAACTAGCATCACTAGCCCCAAGCAGAAGCTTCACCCTAGCCTCAACTTTCAGTCCTACTTTGAGTCTATTTACAAGCCCTCTCCCGGCGACCACCCCCTCGGCTCTGGCCCTCCCTTTGGCCCGCCTCCCAAACCGGATCGCCCAGACCACTGTAGGGTGAGGCCGGCTTAACTCCTCAGACCCTCCCCTTTGCGTAGGCTGCTCTTCTCGACCCCTAATCACGGTAGGGCCTCAACTGCCAAGTTCACATCCACTATCAGCAGACTGACACGTCCAGAGCAAAAGGGACGAACCAACTAGCCACGCTATCCGTACTGGACCACGTCCGCCACCTCCCGCATGCGCAGAGAAGAGCATCATCTCCCACTTCCGCCACACATACGGGAGCTACCAGGGTCCAATCCCGGTCCCTCCTCTGCGAGGAGCCCAATCAACGCGCTCCATCCCGCCCTAGGCGCGTGCGGAAAAGATGGGCGCCGGACGCAGGCGCATGCGCGTGGCGAAGGTTGGTGCGGGACAGCTGGCGCCGGCAGCAGCGGAGGGGCCGGTGGCGCCGGCGGCTGGCCGGAGCGCGCTGCGTTGCAGGTGTCGGGCGAGACAGGTGGGACGGGGCGATGCCAGACTTCGGGCTTCTCCGGGAGGGAGAGAGAAAGAGAGGGAGAGGCTGGGAGCGGGGCTCTTGAGACGAGAGGAAGGCTGGGCATGGGAGAACCCTATGCAGGACAGAAGGCTGGATGGGGGTGGGGAGCGGAGGCCCTGTTAAAAAGGAGAGGCTTTGTGGCAAGGAGTTGAGTTGGAGGGACGACCAAGGAAAGCCATCAACTTGTCGGCGCAGGCAGAGGGGGAAGACAGCCACTTGGGCTGCCTTTTGAGGTAGTGAACCTTCTGTTCCTGGACTCAAACGGGGAGAGCCCCTCAGAGTTGTGTGAAGGAGGCTATCGTGCCAGTGAGACTTAATGGCATGAGGCCCCTTCCCTCACTTGAACTCTGAGCAGCATTGAATGCACGCAGGCTGTAAGCAGAGCATTGACCCGCACAGCAAGGGAAAAACGGAAAGGAACACCCTGATTTCAGTCAGGGATACCTTTCTCTCTAGGGCATCTTGTAACAGGTAATTGAGGCAGTGAGTGTCTGTGATAAAGGGGTACGAGGTGTGTGGGTGGGTCTGCAAACCTCTGTCCTCCACCCCACCCCCATCCAGGTCCATTACCAAGATTAAGTCTGCTCTTTCATTTTAGGTGGTGGAAGCTGCAGCCCCGCGGCCCCTGCACAGAAGGAACCTTGGCTGCTGGACCTTTCTTCACTTCTGAAGATGGCGGGTGAAATCACAGAGACCGGGGAGCTTTATTCTCCCTACGTGAGTTTTACTTTTCCACCCAGGGTTTGTCCACAGCCAGGCTCCTGGCTGCTAGAGAAGTGCAGCGCCTGGGCTGCCTGAGTACACGCTGCAGGGAGCGGGACCAGCAGCAGCCTCACTGCTGATGTCGAGGCTCAGGATGTGTTAAAACAGCCTTGGGTTTGTTCACTTCTTAGATATTTATCAGAGAGTGTGCAAGATGGGCAGCACCCGGCTTGGGCTGCTTGGGGAGCCTGGGATATTGGGTGCTTCTTCGTTCCTGAACATGTACCTGGTTGTTCCCAAGGCAGAGCCTCTCCCAAGCTCTCTGTTACCCCATTGCGCCTTCTTTCCGTCTTCAGGGGTGCCAGGGATGTTTGCTTTAGCTTAAATTACTCTGCATAAAATTGACTTTGCTAACTATTATGTTGATGTTAGGGCTACTAGCAAAGTGTGCTGTCTTTCAGATGGACAGTGATCGACAGCTGTTGATTCTGGGTTTTGCCAACCTCGGCAGTTTGAGGCTTCTTTGGTCTTCAGCTGAATTTTAGATTGCACAACTTTTATAGTCTTGGCTGGTGCGGGAGGCAGTGAAAGCACGCAGGGACTTCCATTTGCAGTTTGGTGGAGCGTGCGATTAGAACAGTTAGAATGACTGATTTCTCACAGTCCTGGGTCTGTGTTATACCCGCACACACATTCACACACAGTTTTTCTTCTGTGTGTGATATAAGATTGGTTATGGTTATATCCCTGGGGCCACTTGCCGAGACCAGTAGCTAGAGGGTTGGAATAATCAAATGATTAACTCATGCTGCTACCAGGCATCCCAGAGGAAAGCATACTGCCTTAAGTAGCGAGAGTCCTCCTTCTGGAACTTAAAAACTGTTACCATTGAGTCCACTCTGACTCATGGTGACCCCATGTGTGTCAGAGTAGAAGAGCGCTCCATAGGGTTTGCAGTCTCTGGTTTTTCAGACGTAGATCGCCAGGCCTTCCTTCTGAGGCTCCTCTGGTTGGATTCAAACCTCCAGCCTTTCAGTTAGCAGCTGAGTGTGTTAACCATTTGAACCACCCAGGGCTCCCTTCTGGAATTTACCCTGCCTTAACCAGCTGCCCTGCTCTGCACCTCCCTTCCTAGTCTTGGAATCCCTGCTCTGTTTCTGCTTGCTTTGCAGACTCTAGAGCTGCGGTGTAATGGATGAGGAAGTATCCCTGAGAACAGCTGAGAAAAAGGCCTTCCTCACACTAGGGCGTCCTGCTGGGTCGGGGCTATCTGGGTGCTGCACTAAAGGAGCTAAAGAGCTTCCTTCCCTTCTGTAATTCATCAGAAGTCTTTCTTGAGTTTTGGAACGGAGTGAATAGGGTCCTTCTCATCTGTGGGATTGCGTAAGCCCCCTCTTGGTATCAGCAATGAAATGGCTAACATGTCCATGAAAACTTCCTGCCTTTTCTTACAACATACGTAAACTCAGAGATAAGGAAATGCGTCATTTCTCGGACTGAGTTTTGGGAAGGAAAAAACTATACAGCCGGATTTCTTGGGCCTTCAGTGTTGGAGCAGTCGTGTGCCCACAAGAAATGGGGCGGTTAGGCCTGAAGCGTCCGCACCCTCTGCTTTTTTTATTTCCCTCCATTTCTTAGATGTTTAGTTTTGTTGATCTGTGTTTGAGGGCCGCCTCTGGGTGTCTGCTGTCGACAGGTGCCTATCTTCTCATCTGCTGGTGAGGAGAGCTGTAGGGGAGGGTGGGGAGTGTTGGGGATGAGGTGACACTCACCAGGAGGTAGCGGTCAGGGTTTTCAGGAGAGGAGATGCCTTTTTCTTAAGATCGCCTTAACTCTGCCACCTGGGAAAGGAGCGCTGGTGGCACAGTGGTTAAGCGCTCGGCTGCTAACCAAAGGTTAACAGTTCATACCCACCAGCTGCTCCGTGGGAGAAAGATGTAGCAGTCTGCTTCCATAAAGATTTAAAGCCTTAGAAACCCTTTGGGGCAGTTCTGCTTTGTCATATGGGGTCACTGTGAGTCAGAATTGACGGCAGTGGTGTTTGCCACCCTGGGAAAATGATTCTTGGTCCCACTGAAAGCAGGAAAAGGGTGTAAAGCTCATCACGCACTGAACCCAGGTAAGCTGGGAACTGACTTTCCTGCAGGTGCTGCTCTGCGTTCCCCAGGTCAGCACAAGATGGGCAGCACTGTGCTCCGGCTGCTTGGGGACCCTGGGATACTGGGTGCTTCTTCATTCCTGAATGTGCACCAGCCCATAACCTGGTCGTTCCCAAGACACAGCCTCTCCCAAGCTTGCTATTGCCCCATTGTGCGTTCTTTTCCCCTTTAGGGGTGCCACAGATGTTTGCTGTAGCTTGAATTATTCTACATAAAACTGACTGGCTAATTGTTTATGATATTGATGTCAGGGTTGCTAGCAAAGTGTGCTGTCTTTCAGATGGACAGTGATCGACAGCTGTTGATTCTGGGTTTTGCCAACCTCGGCAGTTTGAGGCTTCTTTGGTCTTCAGCTGAATTTTAGATTGCACAACTTTTATAGTCTTGGCTGGTGCGGGAGGCAGTGAAAGTAGAGACTTCCATTTGCAGTTTGGTGGAGTGTGCAATTAGAACAATTAGAATGATTGATTTCTCACAGTCCTGGGTCTATGTTACACCTGCACACACATTCACACATGCTCAGTTTATCTTCTGTGTGCTGCTCGGAGAGCCCGGGATTCTGGGTGCTTCTTCGTTCCTGAATGTGCACCAGCCCATAACCTGGTCGTTCCCGAGACAGAGCCTCTCCAAGCTTGCCGTTGCCCCATTGTGCATTCTTTTCCCCTTCAGGGGTGCCACGGATGTTTGCTTGAATTATTCTGCCCGTAATATTTGTAACGGGCAGGTTAACCTCGCAGCAGGCTCAGATGCCAAACCCGCTCGGGGATAGCGCTGGACACAGGGACATGATTCTGGCTGTATGTCTCCCTGTAAATGACCTCAGGACAGGCATGCCTCGCTCCCTGCTTAGAGGGAGCTCAGGACTGAAGTGGCTCAAAATAGAGGATAAGGTGGACCAAGGCCTCCAATAGGGTCAGCTGCTGGCAATACCGCCCGCCAGCGGTTCTTGCTGAAGATCGTTGCTGGTGCTTTCGAAGAACCCAGCCCTTGTTTCACAGCCTTAAATCCTAGCATTGCTTCTGCAGCTCGGCTGCTTTCTGTTTCCTTCAGCAGCTGGCAGAGAGGAAGCTACTGTGACTGCTGCCCTGTGCACATCTGTGAGAGAGGCCACCCAGTTGGAGGTGAGGCAGAGAGAATGCTGCACTGAACTCCCTAGAGCACAGAGGAGCAAGGAGCAGGGAAGGTGCCTTCCCCAGGTGGAGAATTGGGAGGGAACTTGGTTTAGCCTACAGCAGCCACAGCCTCTATAAAACCAGCTGCTGTTGGGTCAGCTCCAACTCATGGCAACCCCATGTGTGTCAGAGTACAGCCATGCTCCATAGGGTTTTTAATGGCTAATTTTTTTGGAAGTAGATTTCCAGGCCTTTCTTCCGAGCTCCTCTGGATGGGCGTGAACCTTTACCCTTTCAGTGAGCAGCTGAGAGTGTTAACCATTTGCGCCACCCAGGGACACGGCATGTATACGTGTTAAAACTCGTTGCTGTAGTGTCTATTGTGACTTGTAGCGACCCTATAGGACAGAGGAGAACTGCCCCATAGGGTTTCCAAGGCTGCAGTCTTTACGGAAGCAGACTGCCACATTTTTCTTCCGTGGAGTGGCTGCTGGGTTTCAACCACTGACCTGTCGGTTAGCAGCCCAGCACTTAACCACTGCACCACCAGGACTCCACAGCATGCATAGGTATTCTTTATTGAGACTGCAGTGGGGCTTTGTTCCCCAGCTTTCCACCACTTCACTTCCCAGGAGACTGGCCCCACAGAACTGCCATGTAGCCAGCAGAACAGCACGTCTCCTTCTTTTTCCTCCGTCCTTGCAGCTCCTTGTGACCTGCCTGCGGCTCCGTTCTTTCTGGCTTCCCTGCTTCCACGTGCCCACTCCTGTGGCCAGTCCCTACTGATTGCCTTTACTGCAGGAACAGAGGACTGCACTCTTGCCAGTAAAGACGTCCTGCATCATCCTCCAGGGTCCCTGAGCCCCGGTGGGTGCAGAGTGCAGGCTTTGCAAGTGTAAGACAGCAACAAAGCAAGACAACTGCGATCACCCGTTTCAGCTCCCAACTGCCAACGGTTTATCCCGAATTAACGTCTTTCTAAAGTTTGAAATGGTTCAGTTTTGCTCAGATTTGTTTGAAGTTTGTTTGGAAGTGTGCTTATTTTGCCATGTCTCTCTATAGCAGTGGTTCTCCAAGGGCGGGGGTGGGGGAGCAGCCGTGCCCCGTGGGGACATTTGACAATGTCTGGCGGCAGTTTTGATGGTCAGGACTGTGGGGCTGGGTCTGCTGTTGGCATCTAGTGGGTAGAGGCCAAGGATGCTGCTAAACATCCTACAGCGCAAGGACAGCTCCCCTCTCCCCACAAACAAGTATCTGGCCCCAAAACATCAATAGTGCAGAGGCTGAGAAACCCAGATCTACAATAGACCTTTAACTTTTACATTCCAAGACCTTCAGGCATCCCTGGATTTACAAATGCCTCCTGTACTGTTTAATTTCCCATGAAACTTCTGGCTCAGAACCATCACTATTTCTGTCTCCTTCTAGAATGTGCTCCATGAGGTCAAGGCCCGTGTCTGTCTTGCATCCTTAGCTCCAAGCACAGGCCCTGGCCCAAGGAAGGCACTCGGTCATTGTTGTTGAATAAATGAGTGAACGGGCAGACTGCTGGACTAGCTAAGTAATCCGTTCCTGCACTTATACACACCAGCCGCAAAGTGCCAGTGATTGAATTAACTACAGCAAAAGTAAAAATGAGTTTGTTAGAGACACAGTCACGTGTGAAAAGCCAGAGCTGGGGGCTTTCAGTTGGGGAGGCCAGTGGTGGGTTGTATATCCTGTTTCTCACCCGGCTGCCACTCTC